AGCTACAGCATTGTCACTCCTCCGCGTGGTATCGTCAGGTGGTATTACCGGAGCGCTCGTCCCCGTTAAGCAATATTAGATGGAGATGAAAACTGATGGAGATGAAAACTGATGAAGATGAAAATTGATGAAGATGAAAGCTGTTTAGGCAGATGTGGTATCAACTGATCTTTGACGGTGGTAGGAACACGTGACTAGAGTTTGAATTGCAATAATACGAAAAACACACTACTATCAATAATATTCTTATTTATATAATGTAAATTGTTTATAATGATAACAACCCGTAGGGCTTCCAATAACTAAATAATATTAATGAGGATAATTCGATACAATAATTACAATCTAGTTTTTACACAGTGGGTTTTTCTACCAATAATTAAAATGTTTCATCAACAGGACAATTTTATGTATTCCAGGACGACATATGACAAACAACAATGTTACATCATATCGGATAGCAAAAAAGAGCAGTTCATTGCAACACTTTACGTAACATCACTCCTAGCTTGGAATTGTATAATGTTGCATTACACCTACCATTACCTTGTTGTTGGATGATTATCTTGTAACAAAAAAGACAAAGGCGCGTCATCCCGTCTGATAAGAAAAAAAGAAGAAATATGTAGAGATTGATTAATTCTTAGAGAAAAGGAAGCAACGAGCAGAGGGCGTGAAAGGGCGGAGGGAAAGGCAACCCCTGACCCAGATCTTTCATCGGCTGGCATTAAGGTCAAGCAGACGTGACAGATTTCCTTGGAAAACCTGCGCATTCCCTCTCGGCTGAAAAAAAAAGAAATATATTTTCTAAAATAAAACTGTAAACGGTATCTTCCTTGGTTTCGTCTATAAACGGTATCTTCCTTGGTTTCGTCTATCTATCTATCCATCCATCTATCTACACAAACAAAACACAAGCATATATATCTATATATGTATCTGTGTCTGTCTATATCCATACCTATATTCCTATCTATATCTATCTGTCTATCTATATCTCTGCATAACCATATATGGCCCGACACGCTGACAGAGCGGGCACAGCTGCCATTTATCGCATATTATCTTCTTCATCGGATAATCATGTAGTTTTTTTCTTAAGCTCGTTGCTGAAGGACGTTACGGAAATGCTCGTGGCAGCATGGGGCGATCGCTTCCATTTTAGTCTTTTGTGTTATGCTTTTTAATGTCTCCGGGCTAATGAACTCTTGATTACCGTGCTTTAATTCTGTCATAATGTTAGAAAAATATTTGTGTGTGTGTGTGTGTTTATGTAGGTAGGTGTGTGTGTGTTTGTGTAGGTGTGTGTGTGTGTGTGTAGGTGTGTGTGTGTGTGTGTGTGTGTGTGTGTGTGTGTGTGTGTGTGTGTGTGTGTGTGTGTGTGTGTGTGTGTGTGTGTGTGTGTGTGTGTGTGTGTGTGTGTGTGTGTTACATGTGCTTTGAATTTTCTTTATATCTGTACATATCTAGATTACCCTTGCATTTTTACCTGACAATCTTGTTTATAAAGTCTTTTTCTTCACAGCATTACATTACATTATGGCAGCGTTCTTTAAACTATTTCCTCTCTGCGACCTACTTCGGATTCTAGTATTATGCTCGCTACCTTATTGAACGCCCACTGTAGTGTACTTTTTCTCTTCTTGTCCAATTTGCCTCGTTAACGCTAAATCAGTTATCACCATTAACATCAAATGATCATTAAAACCCTATTAATAAACTCCAACTTGTCAAGAAGATGAGATTATACTAAACAAAAATCAAAACAAAACAAAACAAAAAAGCGAAACAAAACAAAAGGGTGTAACAGATGACGTTCGACTCTTTCCTACTTTTTTTTCCGATGACGGTGATGTACGTGAATATTCTGTAGGCGGGGGATATGGAAAGGATATACTGTACTATATGCTGTGACGTGAGCCGCGGTGATTAGAGGCCTTTCCTGAATATCAACCAGCATTACGTGTTTCTTCTGGTCTCGAATAATACTTAATTTGAAATTACTCGGTAGGTAAGGTGTATAATTTTCCCTTTCCCCTTTGCAGTAGCGGAACTAAAAACATGACACTTACTCCACGCGTATAAAATCTACGGAATTTCAATCGTATAGTTTTATATAAATTTAGATTTTTTTTATATCTACAAAATTCCTAGAAATTATTTATCTATTAGTTAGAAATACTATCGTATTTAAAGAAAAGTTTCTTGTATCTTACCATTAAAAGTAAATACGGAGAATTGAAAAACAGACGAGTATTTATTTAAAGAATTCCTCGGATTTACGCCCGACTTACCTCCGGCCATTCCTAACGAGATGATTTATTGATGAAACTGAAGAAAACTATGTAAGAATCTATTTAAAACTAGTTCCGTCTACAGTTGTAAGTAAGGCACAGCACTGTAGAAAGATTCCAGTATCTGCAATAGAAATTCCCAACACGAATACAAAATGTCATACTACAATATGAAAAAAAACATGTGAATAATAAGCAATGTGATCCTTACTGCTGCTGTACATACTTGATTTCGCAGAAGCTGCTCTTTTTTATTCAAAATCCCCCTCCACTGGCACAACAGCTCAACGTAAAAGGTCCTTAACAAGGGGTATTCTAAGCCTCCCCCCCCCCTCCCCCCATCCACCCACCCACACAGAGACGTTCGAAGACGTTCCTCAAGCTCAGTCAGCGTTCGGATCGCCTTGACCAGTACTCTCTGGATTGCAGGTGTAGTTTTATGTTAAATGGATGATGGTATGAGATAATATCGTTGCAATTTGCGATATGTGGTAGTTGGCAGAGGAGCATCCATATGGGACT